TTAAATTGGCAATTACCTAATTAAAATGGGGATTGATTTGATTCCTACCCCAATTAGGGATTTGATTTAAATCAAATAAATCAAATCCCTAATTAATCAAATCTCGCCTAATCGGGGAGGAATAATTCCTTTCCATCTACGGAATTATTCCTCTGAAACCCTAGCCTCCGAGGCTCCTATAAATACCTAGCTACACACAAGGGTTCAGGTACGTCTAAATTCCTACTGAAACTCTGCAGAAATTATCCTTCACAAACCCTAGCCACCATCTTCTTTCTCTCTCTCTCTCACACAAGGCTCTGACCTCCACATACGGCTCCGACCACCCGGTTTTCCTTGAAACACCCATCCTAACTTAGGCATCGGAGGGCCTTTGGCCAACACCCCCCGGGTGTGGTCTTTTTACTCCGATCTGTTTTGCAAGGAGAGAGGGGTGCGAAGAAGACGAAGGAATCTTTAGGCGAATATTCTCGTGGGAGGAAATTTGCTCCCACAACTGGCATGAGTGAGAGAAAAATCACTTTCCAAATTCGGATTGCTTCTAAGATGACGAAAAACGCTTTCTGATAGTTTTTGATAGAAAAAACTTTAAAAAGTGCTTACGAGTCATACAAATGCTTTTAAAAAGCACTGCCAAATGCTTTTAAAAAGCACTGCCAAATGCTTTTTAACGAAGCACTTGAATTTTTAATGAAAATTACAACCAGCTTCTAGAAAAATGTTTATGAGCATAGATATCAACCCAACTACCATTGTAGAAAGATGATGGCAGTTAAAGAATATGAAAAAGGCAACTGTAAAATTACTCTTTCAAAACAACCACCATGATTTGACAATCGATACGAATGCTCCAATTTACTAGACCTATGAGGTTGTCAGTAACCGAAAGATATACCATCCCTTAAAAGGTTCTGTTTGGGCCTAAATTCCACACGCCAACCCAATTGATATTGGCCCATATCAAAAGCAGGAGTTTTGGGCTTTGTTTTAAAAGACAGAGATCAGCTTAGGTGGTTTTGGAGGCCCAGACCCTTGTAGACCAGTTAGCAATGATTAAATTCACAAATTAAAGATTAATTGCCATTGAATGGTGATTTAAACAAGCCAGTTGCTAATTGATTTAAAGATTAGGCCCAGTTTCAAACATCTCCAAAGGCCCAAGAAATTTGATCATCACCGTTGATCTCAATTCAAATCAACAGATATTTTGGAAGATCTTTTTCTCAGAAGAAGGCCTATGTCACTTTGAAAGTCAAAGTTTTCAACTGAGGCAGAGGAAGTGATGGGGAGTTAATGAAAACAAGTTAACCAAAAGAACACTCTCCATGAACATTTAAAAAGCCAGAAAAAAAAAGGGGGCGGCCAAGTTCCCTTGCTATACTCATAGAGGGCTCTACATTAGAACAAGATGTGTTTTTAAAAAAATAAACAAGAGACAAGAGAGTTGTACAGAAAAAGCAAACAGACCATCATAGAAGCTGACAGTTGATGGTTCTTTTTTGCTAGAATAATAACTCCCCCTTTTTTGTGGCATCGGAAAAGGAAAAACCTTTTAAGATTTGCCCACCCAATTAAAGACCTATTAAAGATTAAAACCCTCATTCAAAGTTCTCTATAAATATGAGAGGAGGTGAATAGGTTGAGAGACAACCAAAAAATCAATCAAAAACAAAAACTATCTAAGTTATATTGAAAAACTCAAAGCAAGATCATTCGATCACAAAAGCCTTTAAGACTCTAAAGCAACCAAGTCATTTGGTTTGAAAATTCACCCAGCTCCTAAACAAAACAAACAGAACTCAGACTTCTGACTCCAGTTCAATTCGGGGAAACAATTCACAAAGGAAACGAGACTTCTCTCATTACAAATTTGGTTCAGCTTGAGCCAAATCAAGCAGAACAAGTACTGTGGTGTAGCTCCAAGTTCAGCAATCACCAATCCAGCCACTTCCAACCCCATCCAGACTGAAGAGGCCTTAATTCTGCCCAACCAACAAGCCTCTCCCTAGCTTAAACGGATTAAAGCTCTACCAATCTCAAACATTGGTATCGATTTCCAGCTGAAAACCATCAGTTGAAGGTGCTGACATTCGAATTCAGAATAGATACATCCAATCCAGCCTAAGTTGAAGGCAGCCACTCAAGAAGAAATCGAAGCCTAACGCTTTGTAGTCCTTTCGGACGTAGCAGTTCTCTTTTTAAGTTGTGTAATAGGTAGTTCTTCTTAAACAGTTTGATTTCTTTCTAATATTCATTCTGGCCAAAACTACAAGTTTTTACTGTGAAAAATTGTGGAGTCCTCACCAGTCTAAGGCAAGAAAAGAACTTACTTCGGAGATGTTCCTCACCAAATTCACAATCATTTGTTTAGAGTCAGTAAACTTGGCATGCAAGTTATCTATTTTTTAAGTATGTTAGGGTTTTTTAACTGCTAGCAGTGGCACGCTCAAACACAAAAGAAATTTGACTTGTTAACCACCGATGGTTTTCAAGTCAATGGGGAATTTTACCATGTCGTCACAGGACTAAATCAAAACGGGTGAACCGGTTCAAATATCATTATCAATGTATGTAGAATTGGGCAATTCAATTCTGATCACAAATGAATTAGCCAATCTCACATTGTGGATGTCCCTTGTTGCTGATGTTTTGCTTTTGAGCATGTTTTTGATCTTCAATTTTCATAGTCCATGTCTTATGCCAATATAAGGTGATAGAGCTTTTTTTTTTTTTTGGTCATGGCAAAATACGCTGTGAATTGCAATGTTACACATTTCTCAGTTCAATTTTATTTTTATAATTGGTTAATATTTAATTAATAATTGATTTGTAGTTCAAGTGGTTAAGAAAGTTTATCTATGATTTGGAAAAAAAAAAAAAAAGAAGGTTTATCTATGAATACATGGTCCTGCTTTAAATTCCTCTTCTCCCTAATATTGTTTTTATTTATAAAAAAAAAGGTGTAAAATGGTGATGGGAAGGGATTTGTATCGTTACAACCATTACCCATGTATTTGAGAAGAGTATTTACCCATACACCTGAGGTCTTAGATTTGATTCCCCTCTTCAATATCGCTTGTATCAAATGAAAATGTGATATATGGTGGTTGGTTCATATAGAACAATTGTTAGGTTTATTGTCTTTGGTCGGTTGTACTACTCGACTTAGGTTTGGGACTTTATGTTTTATGTGTTGTGGCCATCTTGCTTTCTTTAATGAATTTTATATTCGGACAAAAGAAGAGTTGAGGATAACCACAAGGTGTGGTGCGGTTGGTAAACTGCCACCTCCAGCTGGCGAGCTACTTGGTGACTCAATGGCAGGGGTTCGAAACCCGTTGGAAGCACTTTATGGCCAAGGTCAAGGCAAACCCCAAGTAGGGATTAATCTCATCCTTTGGGTGTGGGGACATCTCGTGGTATTTACCAAAAAAAGTAGAGTGGAGGATGGTTGAGCCACTGAATTAAGTCCTCGTAAGACTATCTCCAACCATGTTGAAGCTAATTTGAGTCCACAACTTTATTATTATTTTTTTATCTGAATCATGAGGTGGTCCTGAATGGGCCCCAACTATGGGTGGCACCTTTAAGCCTTAACCACAACCCAGACTAATCCCCACTCACACCGGGTCGGCCCGTAAGAGGTAAAGTGTTGGCCAAAGTGGTGACTCCGTACGAGAGCAGGGATCGAACCCCTGACCTCTCTTAAGGAATGAGAGTGCCGAACCACTCACACCAACCACCTTGGTTAGTCCACAACTTTATTAAATTGTTTAAAAATGGTTAACCTTCATTTTTGTTTTGGCGTTAATTTTTCTCGACATTATTTTTGTTCAACATTCATGATTTAATTTTCTGAACATTTTAACTTAAAAAAAATCCAAAATCTAAAACATAATATATTTTCACTTAAAAATAAAAACATATTAAAATAAACGACAATTACAAAATTATTTGAAGTTAGATCTGATTTAAATTAACTATGAACATTATTTTAAACGTTGGATTTAATTCAGCAGTTGAATGTGAAAATTTCCAACTGAGATTGCGTAAAAATGATCCCGGCAATTGATTATATATAGCCCTTGGAATTTTTAGAAAGAAATATTGAAACATCAACTGCAAGTTAACGACTCTTACATTTCCTTCAGCCGCTCGTCAGGAGCTAGAAAAGGAGTGGGCAACAATTTGCTGCAACGTAAGGGCCGCTATGTATTTCCTTCACGTGGCCTTGATTGCTGGCATGTTGGGCTCCATAAAATTACCAATCCTTGCAATATTCGGACCGAAATTCCGCCTAAGATAATGCATGGCCTAAATGTCAAATTTTCAGCATTCAAAAAATGTTTATGTTCAATTAGGGTTGCCGTTGGATTCCTCATAGTGCAAAAACTTTCTTGAGTTTGAATCACTGAATATGGTCTAGTTTAGTAGAAAATGGTATTGACTTGCAGATCAATGATCTTATGTTCGAAATTCTATGACACTTTGACAGTATATGTGAGAACCCCCTTCTTAACTTTAGGAAAATAAAGAAAAAAGAATCATCGACCTATTTGTTTATTGCCCACACTGACCCTTGCTTGTTTTGAGTAAGATGGTTTAGGGTTTTCAAGTCTCATCGTACTCCATGTCTCATGCCAGACTGATACAGCCTTCGTATGGATAGCCAAATGTAATGAGTTTTTGTTGTTTAACTTCCAAAACCTCTTCTTCTCTAATTAAGCTTAATATTTTAGAATTTGAGATAATAATTTCACTAAAATTATATCCTCACACCTACAACAATTGTTCGACTCTTGCCTTCTTATAAGAAAGTAAACAAATAAAAGAGCATTACTTAATAGTAGTAATTTAATTAATTATTTTTTAGTTTGAATAAAAGTTTAATTGAAACAATCCCGGACTGTCATGGGCTCAGCTCAAGCGGGCCAGGCCCAAAACCCCTTTCAAATCCATTGAAAACTGGGCTAAGATTGTGCCCATTCAGTAACGCGCATGTATTAACGGCGTCTTCTACAACATGGCGACTGCAACTGAAGAAACCGCAGCAAATTCTCAGAGCTCAGAAATCTAACAGCTCACTTCCAGAACTGGATCCAGAGTTCTTACAGGTATTTTTTAGCTGTTTGCATTCTGACTTAGTGCATTTTCGTATAAATTGTTTGGTTACTGAGAAAGCATAGGAAAATAAAGTTTTAGAAAAAAAATTGTATGTAACTGTTGTATGCTCAGCTCGGCTCGATTCAAAACAAAGTTCTCTGTTTTCCCCTGCATTTTCTTACCAGCCAAGGTTAAAAGGCAGCAATTCCTTCTCAAAGATTGTACCTTTGATATGCTTAGAAGTGATTATTAAATCCGCTGCGGTGTTAGGCTAGATTATTCTAAAATGTGTGTGCAATCAATTAGATATCTTAGATTACACCTTTCTGGCTTTACAAAATGAATGGGATATTTCAGAGTTGACAGAAAACTTGGACACAGGTTGTAAATGTTCATAAAATGGTTATGTAAATACGATCATTGCATAACCATTGAAAAGTTTTATCAAGCCTAGAGATTTCGTCTGGTAAAAGTCCCCAAATTGAGACTTTTTCTCTCTTGTGAAATTTATATTTTACATTTGTTTAAAATGCTTTGATGCTGGATTTTTGAGTTTGGCTCAGGTTATTGCAGTCTTTGTATTCTCAGGTATTGAACATTTAAATCAAGATTAACAAGATGGGACTAAAATTATAAAACTTTAATCTATTATCCTCAGTAACTAAATGGGGTTTAAAGAAATTTCAATTACAACGGATTTCATATATATTCTCAGCCAATGTTTTTGCTAAATTTTGTTTTCAGTAATGTTGAACCGCGGAAACAAATCGAAGGCATGGAATGGGCCTCAAAACCGTTTGGCTGGACTTGTGGTAGTGTCTCTTACAGTTTTTCTTCTCATTTTCATATTGTCAGTTGGCAACAATGATCAAAAGCCCAGTTCATTACTTGAACTTCCAAAAGAAAAGTGGCATAGCTTTAAGTCACTTTCTCCAACCTTAGAGTTTCGAAATGGAACTGATGTAATATGGCAAATACCAGATTCGCCTAAAGCAGTTCTTTTTCTTGCTCATGGTTGCAATGGTAGAGCTGCTCACTTTTGGGACAAGTCTTCTCACTGTCCTAACTGCATTGGTTTGCCAGAAGAAAGGCTAATTGCTCTTCATGCTCTTGCTCGAAAGTTTACTGTCCTTACTATATCAAGTGCAGGGATATGCTGGACTCTTAGGGAAGAGATAATTATTGTTAAAGACATTATCAAATGGTGGGTTGAGAAGAACAAGCTTGAAAAGCTTCCTCTTGTTGCTATGGGGGCTTCTTCCGGAGGACACTTTGTTTCTGTGCTTGCCACTGTGTTGAAGTTCACTAGTATTACAATTATGATTGCTGAAGGGAAGTTTGATAAAATGGATATAAAAGAGAGCTATCCCCCTACCCTTTTCATGCACATGCCGAAGGATATATTAAGGAAGCAAAAGATAGATGAGTATATGGAAGTTTTAAGAAATAAAGGGGTTGATGTTGCAGAGATTGAATGCAAGGAGTTCCCCTTGTCGCCACATCTCTTAGCTGATAGAATCCCAGGTCTTGATCGGTCTGTTTCTGCTAAGGTATTTGAACTCTTCCGGCACAAGGGTTTTATCGATGAGAATGGATATATGAAGAATGATGGGCGTAGAACACCTTGGAAAGAAGCTGTCAGAGAGAGAGAAATTATTTTCCCAGACAAGCATCTGGCCCATTACATTCAGGAGGAGTTAAATCTGGCATTTGCATACCATGAAATGACTAGCTTGCACTCTGACAGCATGTTTATATGGTTTGAATCCCATATGAGGTAACTGCTCGTCAAATTCTCCCTTCCTCTGCCTTGACCAGTTTGGTGGATCCAGCCCAGAATCTGAAGTAATTTAAATGTATTCCACTATCCATTTTGAGGGAATGGATTTGAAAAACACATATAGAATTGTTCTTTTGCATCATTCAGAAATCAATTGGCTCTCTTTGAAGAAAAAGCTGTATTGAGCTGGCTGAAGTACTAGATAAGCTTGAAGGGTACATGCTCAAGAGTATATGATGGATGTAAATCAGATGTTAGGTAAACTTTCTGTCCCTAAAAAGGAAAGAATTCAAGTGTAAACCAATCTTCCTATTCACATGATGTTGAAGTAAGAAAGAATTACAAAAGTAGTTTACTGTTCAATAATTTTTGCATGGGTTCCAACATTTTCATTTCTTAGACAGAGACAGAGACACCATCTGTTTCTTGTTCTTCATGGAGAATTGAGCTCTTTTTAAGCTTACTATTTTCATTTTGGCCTTGCATTTGGTATATTTACCTGAAACTAACATACTAACATTCATCTTATCTCATATTTACTTTTATATTTTCTGAGTGTTGATTTTAGGAAATTGTTGCCTTGAAAATTTTGAGGTGCATGTTGCAATTAATGCTTGTTGTACTGATGGAACATGTATAACGTTGTATCATCGTGTCCATGTTTATATAATGAGGCATCAAAAGGTCTTCTGAAGCTTACCATTAGGCAATGTGAATAGGTGCATCTTGGGACAGACATCTGTGGGTTGCACAAGACAACTATCAGAAGCACAATGCTTTAAGTAAATAGAAGATGGCATTTAGTTGCCTTGTCCCTTAAGATTAAAAACTAACCTACAAGCACATTCTAGGTTGGACAATGGATGAACATTCAACTGCTATCATAAAATCATTGCTACAAATTTTAAATTGTAGACTCATCTGTCGCCCCCTCTTTACTCATTGTCTCATCCCATCCCTTTTCATACAAGGGTTTTTCTACAGAGCGAATTCATATTGTATGCGAACACAGTTGTGGTCATTAGATTGACAGATTCAACCATCTCGAGTACTGAAGATGCATACTTTCACATAAATTTTCTCATCCCGTCCAAAAAAGTTGTTTGAATTATAATTACCATTATTTCTCAATTATTATTTTTCAATCTCACTAATTTCTTTAAAAAGTTTAAATATTTTTCCTATATTTTATTTTTGTTGGTTAGGTTGGTATCCATTTATTATTATGTTTAATGCTTGATTGTACTATTAAGTACATTTAAGAAATTGGGCTGTGCTTTCCTAATTGAGTTTGTCTGGGGCATGCCTGCCTTTAACTCAATTTCAATTATCTACCACATTGTCTTTGTCATTCGCCTAGCTCATGAAAGTTTATTTTTGTTTGCATAATGTCTGTCCTTGTGTTTGCATTTTTCTACTGATTTACAATGAAGAGATAGTCAATATTGAAGATTTAAGACGGTGGGCCTTGTATTTTTTGCTTTTCTGCAACGTGCAACTGTCATGCTAGAAAATTTAATGCCCTCGATTTACAAGACCAGTGGCATGAACTGACCTTTTATTATAATAACTTTGCACCATGCGATCATGCAATATGACCTGTAAAGATAGTACAATGGTTTTAATTTTTATGTTACTTTCAAGTGTCTAAAATTTGGGATTTTTTGGTTGTTGTAATACTGTTGCTTCTTTTATGCTGAACATTTATGCTGCATGAGATATGGTTCAATGAAATCTCGAATCTTATTTAAAACTAAAACAACATAAGCTAAGCATTAAATTAATGTAAACCCAGTATCCATCTTAAAATGCTGTAGCATTTTAAATATAATTAGGCACTAAGGAACACAAATTTCTAGAACAAAACACACTCTAAAATAGTCTTAGATATTGGTAAAGAACTCGTAGTCATGATAAACTGTGAAAGGAAATGAAAGCAGATGATGATGTGATTGAGATCAGGCTCTAGGCTTGAGTTTTCCTTCATTAGCCAGCTTGAACACACGGGCTTGAGATGCTGCAGCTTTGTTTGATCCCAGAGCTCCCACAAAGCTGTCCCTGACTTGCTTGGTTGTGAAATGGAACCTGTTATCAACCATGGAATTCAGCAAGGCAGCAGTTCCTTGTCTGTAGAGTTCACCAAGCCCATCAGTATGTGTATTGGAAAGCGCTTGCTGCAAGCTCATGGTGCTTGAGCCAAACCCTGGAAGGCTAGTCACTCCAAATGCATGGCCCAAAGTTCCCCACCAGCCTAACAGACCCCATATCACTGTGGGGTGGTTCCTCCAGTAGCTGCAAAACATGGTAAAAATTTGTGACTTAGAGATGGCATTGAAGTTATATATACACACACAGAGGTTCAGTTGAGGGATCCCTCAAATAAGCTTAGGGATCCCCTTGTGGGTTCACTCCGCATTGTATTGTATTTCAATGACCCGAACAATATAACCGTATATGTATATATCTGATCAGTTTTGTGATTAATTGGAACTTACATGCATGTAAACGGTGGAGAGTTGGGATCAGGAAGAAAAGGGGGTGTAGGAATACTTGGAGTGTTTGGGTCAGTTGGTGGGGTTCCAATGTATGGGATTGGGGGGCTAACAATGTCTGGTGTGGGAGGTGTTAAAATGTCTGGTGTGGGAGGGGTTGAAATGTCTGGTGTGGGAGGGGTTGAAGTGTCTGGTGTTGGTGGGGGGCTGTAGCCTCCTGAAGTTGGTGGAGAGTTATAGTAGCCGCCGCCACTTGGAGGAGTTGAGGGTGTTGATGGCTCGGATGGAGTTCCAGGGTCATGTGATGGAGTTGGGTTGTGATATGGTGGGGTGCCACAGTTGGAAGGCGGTGATGATGGTGTTGGGTTGTGGCTTCCATGAGAGTGGTGTCTGTGAGGGCTACCACCATGTGATGGTGGATGGGAAGGAGGACTGTGTGAACCTGCATTAATAAAAGACGTGTCAGATATTACAATATTACTGACTTGATCATCAGCCTAATGCATGCTATGACATAGTTTCTGCTATATGCTAGCTAGAAGTTTGTGATATAAACCATATTTTACAATTTGAACGCAAAACATGTTTGTTTACTGTGATGAACTCACATATTTAGGTAAGAAAAGTAGCATTTTGTTCTAGTAGTGTAATATTTTAAACTGGTAACTGAAACAACCAACTTTGCAAGAATATTAATCTTCAAGGACAAAAATATATAGAGTACAGACAAAATGTGTGTGTTAAACAGATAAACAATGCACATGTGTTAAGACCAGAAACAGAAATAATGTGTGTGTTATGTGAAGAAGAGAGGGAGACACAGACCTCCAGGGGGGCTTCCTGCATGTGGGTCTGGAGAGTAGTAGGTCTTCTGGTCTTCAACAGTGGAGGACATAACAGGGATGACCAAGTTCTGGGATATCATCCCAGCAACCAAGGTCCATATGAACAAAGAGGCAACTCGGCTTCTCACTCTGCCCATTTTTTTCTTCTTAGAATACACTGAGTAAAGGAGGAAACAGAAGTGAAGGATGGATTGTTTCCAGGAGGAAGAGGTGAAATATATAAGGTAGATGTAGAGAAGTTAATATTAGCAGGTGAAGGAGTACTGTAGTTAGTTGATGTGCTGCAGGTGCATTTATCATCCTATTTACTCTTGTGTTTGAAGTAGCTTTGAGACACAAACCACATAAAATCAAATGAAAGGTCTCTCTCTCTCTCTCTCTCTCTCTCTCTCTCTCTCTCTCTCTCTCTCACACACACACACACACACACATAATTTATGTTCTGCATTACTTATGAAGTTGATTGAATCATGTGGCATGGGCTAATATGGGTGTTGACATATAATATTGCTTGTCATTGGTTCTGACCTGGATAAATGAGATTAGGGAGCTAATTGTTTTTTTATTTCTTGATGAAGCGCCTGCTTGGAAACAAATACCATTCAAGTTTAGAAAGCATGATATATAAAATGTGCCAAGAAAGGACAAATCTTCCGTCCCCAGCCTTGTGGGTTGGGATAATATATGGAAAACCAATGCATGATCTGCCTTCAACTGGCTGTTTGCAAGCTTCAGCCTTCAATATGAATGAGACACCACTAGTGGCTGTGGATAGGTGGCAAACCAAATTTTTTCAATCGTAAGTTTGTGAACTCCTTCTTGCTCTGAGATCCAAGACAATAACCCCAGAATAGAGTTTGTCTCAAAACCAATCCAAACCTTGACACTCCTGTCATTATGTCTTTGTATTAAAATTTGGATTAGGATTAGATGTCCTGGTCCCTTTTCAACCTAAATGGATATTGTGTTAGATATGAAATTATTTAGAAATTAATTACAATATGGTACATGAAGTTATTTCAATCCCTTGTCCAAGATATGCATATATGCTAGATGTAGAGCCCTGAGCTACCGGAGCCAACCCATAAATTTGTGTAAATTGTGATGGGCCATATGAAGATTTCTCAGCCTTAATTGTATAAAATTTTCAAGTACGGCTAGCATCCATCTCCTCTCTAGCATCTTCGGCTATCTTTGTGGCCAATCAAACCATGTATGAAGATCTTTTGTGGTGGTTGTTTGGGTAGGGAAATTGAAATTGAACCAACCAACATCTTGTCGGGTATAAAATTTAGTGAATTAGTCATGGTTTCATGAAATCTGTCATGAAAAATTCCCCATTTTGGTCTCCATATAAATTTGTTACAAGCTATGCACGTTGCAGATGGAAATTTTAGCTGGAACAAATATGTTAGAGATATGGTATGTATAAAAGATGGCAAATGACTCAAAATTCTGTACATGAACATAAAACTTTTATCAGACATAAAAACATAAAGAAGGACCCCAACACCTGGTAGAAAGAGAGAGAGATGGGCCAAGAGATGCTGATCCATGAAGTGGGTTCTGTGTCAAACTTAATGAGTTTGACAGAGAGGTAGGTGATATTGAACAAGTGTTAGGAGGAGAGTAAAGAAGACAGCAAAGAAGGGCATTGTTTTTAGAGGTCTGTAATTGAATCACTTTCAAGTTTCAAACCCCTCTGACCATAAATTTGAAGCATATGAGAGAGAGAGAGAGAGAGAGAGAGAGAGATGTATGTCATTCAACCAAAGTTTTATGGCTGTGTAAGAGACAGGTTGGCTAATGGCCATGCCACAGTAGGTTCATGAGTTGTCACACATTGGAGAAGGTCACAGTGAAACAGTAAGTTAAATTCCGCAGTGATGGATGGCAAGGAGGCCTATGGAGCTACAAGCTAGCTAGACACTGATGAATTTAAAAACATGGTTTTGGATTTGGTGGCAGTTGAAAGCATTAATCCCATAAAATTCTTCAAGAATTTGGTGCAATAATTATACAAAAATATGATGAAGTGAAAATGTCTATAAAGAATATTAATTAGCATGTTCTAACTTCAAATGAGCAAAAGAACAATGGTTTATAATATTAATTAATCCAAGATTAATCATAGCTCTAAATTCAAAGTCTAATTTTTGAAGCCATCTGCTTGTGCCATGCTTGCTGTAAAATCATTTTTCTTGATCCAGAGACCTTTTTCCTAGGAACCCCATTAAAAGATCCATTTCATTTTCTTGGGTAGAGAGGGAAGGAGTTTCATTGTCTCTCTAGTATGACAAGTTCCACTGCTGCTTCTGTGGAATTTCCTAACAGAGAGAGACTGGCTGCAAATCTTATCAATGCTCACACACAGGTCCCCAAATTGTTTTTGCTATAGAGATATGAATTTACTGCTACAACTGTACCATTAACTGCTACAACTGACATCCCCTCAAAGTAAACTTAAATGTCTGGCTTTGCATCTCCTTAAAACATGTATGATATGTGCATAGCATGGATGGTGCTTGCTTTTGCTAGATTTTTTTTTGCTAGATTTTTGGTGCTGGAAGAAGATTATGTACTCAACCATGTACTAAAGACATACATACCCATATACAATTGAATAATTACTTATCTCAGTGACGGAGACACATGTGGACATGGGATGTAGACACGGGATGTACTTAGACGCCCCAATCTACATGTAGCTCTATGTACTTTTTAAAGATATTTCGACTTCTTGCCCCTTCAGAAAAAGGTTTTTGGCTCTACCCTTGGGCCTGAGCTTTGTATCATAAATATATATGAACCTTATCTTTAGGAATAGGAATGATGAATAATATTCCACACATAGATCCACAAATTTTGGTCCCTAACATGGCTGTTGGTTAATTTATGCATGAGGCATGCCCTTTGCAGGATGATATATATTTTATATATACAGGGTTTCTTAGCATTGGTTGACCCCAATATTTATCCATTACTGCAGCACACACATATATAACATATGGCATGGCATGGTTCCAAGGTCTCTTCTGTTATTGTTGAAATCAGCAATCAGGAGAGATGGAAAAGATTCCATGGTTTTCATCATGTGTTAATCTTTTATGAGAGAGAGAGAGAGAGAGAGAGAGAGAGAGAGAGAGAGAGAGAGATTGAATGGTATCAGCAGCCTTACCAGATCTTTTGGGATTTCTTTTGTGATTAAAAATTTAAGAATATTTGACTGGTCGGCAGCAAGAGATTATATGCTTCTTCTAGATATACATTTTTATGTAACATTATATGGTGATCTTTGATTATGTGTCATTCTCTGGGGCGGTGGACTTTTGATCCTCAGCTCAAAAGCATATGCAGGGTCTGTGGTCACTGCTTTCATACCCACTAGAAATATGGAACTTAACTTTGAGTCAACGTAAATGGGATGATCTTAGCTGTTGATTTTGTAGAAAAAGGATATAGAATTTGTGGGACGGTCAGGACTTCATGATTGGTTGACTTTTCGGAAATCAACAGGGGTTTGACTTTCTGGTTTTTCCTTCTATAAAGCAAACAACAATCTGCTCACCTGATACTACATTATTATTATTTGAACCGTAAAATTCCAGCTTCTTTAGTCCATCAACAATATCAAATCATCAATGGCTAATGAAATTAGCCATCTTTGTTTCTTATGCATTTTGGCTGCAATGGTCTTTATTATCATTTTCTTGAAGCACAAGAAACACTGTAACACAAACAAGCAAAATCTGCCACCTGGGGAAATGGGGCTTCCTTGGATAGGCCAGACCATGGAGTTCTACAAGGCTCAACGTAAAAACAGTTTGTTTGAGGATTTTGTACAACCCCGGATTACGAAATATGGCAAAATCTTCTCAACACATCTCATGGGATCGCCAACTGTGATTGTAAATGGAGCCAATGCTAATAAGTTCCTGTTGTCCAATGAGTTCAAGTTGGTGGTGAGCTCGTGGCCTTCCGCGTCGGTTCAGCTGATGGGGAAGGACTCCATCATGGAAAAACAAGGAGAGAGGCACCGCTGCCTTCGCGGGCTTATAGGCTCAAGCCTTGGCCAGGCAGGGCTTGAGACTTTAGTGCCCAAAATATGCAACTCTGTGCAGCAGCATTTGGACACAAAATGGAAAGGCCAGGACAAGATTAGCCTATATCGTTCGACGAAAATCTTGACGTTTTCCATAGTGTTTGAATGCTTCTTGGGGATCAAAGTGGAGGCAGAGATGTTGGAAACCTTTGAGAGAGTTTTGGAAGGGGTTTTTGCAGCACCAGTTATGATTCCTGGGTCCAGGTTTTGGAGAGCAAAGAAAGCAAGGAAGACGATAGAGAAAATGCTGGTTGAAGTAGTAAGAGAGAAGAGGATGCAAATGGAAGGCAAGCTAGAAGAACAAGAGGAGCAGGGAGGGATGTTACTGTCACGATTGGTGGCTGGGATGATTCGAGGGGAAATTACCGAAGAGGAGGTTGTTGATAATGTGGTTTTGCTAGTTTTTGCAGCTCATGATACTACTTCCTTTGCCATTGCCATGACATTCAAAATGCTGGCTCAGAATCCTTATTGCCATAGTCTCCTACTTAAAGGTATATAATCTTTCATGCAGTCCAAGTTCATCTATTTTAATTGACAGCAAAAATAAGTTTAATCTGTTATCCGAGAAACTCAGCATTTAACAAGCTTATCAGTGAGTTTCATTTCATTTCCCATCAGAACATGCTGAGATAATGAGCAGCAAAAGACCAGGTGAAAATCTGACATTGGATGACACAAAGAAGATGAAGTATACCTGGCAGGTTGCTCGTGAAAGCATGCGGCTCTTCCCTCCTATCTTTGGCTCTTTCAGGAAAGCCATTGCTGACATTGAATATGAAGGCTTCACCATTCCCAGAGGATGGAAGGTACATATGTGTTCTGATTTGGCCACACTACAATTTTATGCAGGTTTTTACTTACAGGGTTTGGACTAATTTTTAGTGGTTTATTTTATTCAGGTTTTGTGGACAACATATGGAACACATTACAATTCAGAATATTTTCCAGATCCTCTGAGTTTCAATCCAAGTCGGTTCGATGAGTCTCTTCCACCATATGTGTTTCTTGCATTTGGTGGAGGGCCAAGAGTGTGTGCAGGGTACCAACTGGCCAAGTTGAATATCCTCATATTCGTGCATTTTGTTGTTACTCATTACGATT